CACTGTACAGTATATTGTATACTGTATACATATATACATACACAGAAATCATACCACAGAACAGAAAACAGCATGCTGGCTGATTCCACAAAAGGGAGGATTCCACTAATCGAAGGCAGCAGTTATACTGGCAATGAAGTGGATATGTTTATGAAATCCACTTTGTTCTTGGAAATTTCGTTGTCCGTTAGATTTAAATGGGAATAAGTTCCAGTCCTTCATTATTCTGTATTTTGCTTTTGCAGGTAATAAACAATAAAAATTATACCATATCACAAAATACAATAGCACATATTTTATGTACAAAAAATTAGCTCTGGGCGATACTTAACAGTAAACCACACAGTTCAGCCAGCCAGCTGACTTATAAGACATGTGTGATTGTCACACTGTGCTATGTGTATGCCATGATGTCACATCGGGCTCTGGGGGAGGAAGTGCGGTGCCAGCTAGGCTGGCAACATAGTTACAGCAGCCCACTGCCTCCACACATACAGTACATTCACTTCCCACACATAGACACCAATGCTCATCATTTTTCTTACTTTATAGTTTTATATTATACTTTATCTCTAAGTACAGTAAGTCCTCGTATAACGTCAGCCTGCTTAACGTTGTTTCGGTACTACGTCGCTAATCATTAGATACCAAAAATTCGTTTAACGTCCCGATAACTCAGTTCAAAGACGTTTTGCGTCATCACGGACTACTTTTTATGACACAAACAACAACGGAGGAGGAACAAACAGCAGCGGAGGAACCCCAGTCAGAGCAGGAGGAGGAGGAGGCAGCTGCAGCGTCTCAGTGACTCGCCCTCCTCCGCTCCCGCCATACTCCTCCCCTCCTGCCATCCGCCTCACTACCCACCACACACTCGCTCTACCACCTCTGCCCATCGGTGAGTACCAATACAAACTTAGAAGTTATATATGTATGCACTATTTTCTATAGAAATGGCAATGATTTTCTATATATATATGTAATGTATTTCACGGGGCAAAGGGAGGCTCAGGAACGTAACTCCCATAATTTATATACTTCTTATAGGGAAAATTGATTCGCTTAACGTTGTTTCATATAACGTCGCGTTTTTAGGAACGTATCCCCGACGTTAAGCGAGAACTTATCGTACTGTACTAAAATGATTTTTCCACAACTTTCATAGTTTCCTTTCATGAAACAGTGGCAACATTTGTAGCCATCTCACAGTTGACTGGCAATGTGTTAAGGGAAGTTCTATTATTCCTTATACTAATGGTGACTGTACATGATAATAGATGGTCTTCACACTAATCATACATTATTCTTGGGTACTAAGTGGTTAAGCAGTAAGTAGACTGTCACAAATCACTTGTAAAAATACTGAGTGTGAAAGCGGGTTGTCAGTCATCTGCAGGTTGTCACTCGCCTGACATCCTTTGGATATGACAAAATGTCCGATGAGGTCACGAACCCAATGTTTACATTCCCAACCATCTAAATGTACACATCTTATAATTTTGCACATACAGTGATCCCTCGGTTAACGAGTTACCTTCCATAAGAATCTTCAACTCGATTAACGAAAAAAAATTTGGTTAACGAAATCCTTACGAAATCGTGTCAACATGTTTTCGCCTGCTCACCAGCTGGAGTATTAGTCCGCCAATACAGTAATCGGTTTTAGGGCTTAAATTCATTACCATTTGAGTAAATATCAAGAAGGTTGTACTATTTGATAATTTGTAAGTCTTATATTAAATTTTTTTGTCATTTTAAGAATTATTTAACATAATTGAGGTACAGGGAACTAGTTTTTAGAGCACCAAACAGCCACTTGACTCACCCAGAATGGCGTCAGTTTGTGTCTCTGCTCAGTGGAGGAAGCTTCTTGCTTGAGACTCTCTTGAATATAAACTATTTTTACATTTTTACAGTGCAATTATTGGTCATTCTGAAATTTATTTTACATATTGACACTATATAGTGCAGTGCAGTGTTGATTTAAAGAAAATAATCTTGAATTACACCAAGTGAACTTAAAATTTTATGGGTGAAATGGCAGCATGAAGCATGGGGTGATTTCTCTTCCACACCACTGCTTTCTCTTCTCCCTTCTCCTCCACCCCCACTTCTAATTCCCATCATCATCATCATCAACCAGGAGCCTTCTACATGCACACCTCAAAGTAAGTGTACTTTACTGCATTTATTTTTAGTTTGTATGTAATTTTCGGTGAGCTGGAACCAATTACCCAAAATCCCATTGAAACAATGGTTTCGGTTAACAAAATTTTTGGTTAATGAACGACCTTCTGGAACGAATTGTGTTCGTTAACCGAGGGACCACTGTACATATACAGTATATTAGGAAATTAACTAATGAAAATTTCTAGTTTCTGTAAAACGAAGAGACACACTGCTCTCTCTTATCCTTTTCTTCACTGGATTTAGCACTCACTTTATGTATGGTGACAAAGCTATACAGATGCACACACACACACACTGGAGAATACGACAAAACCTTGGAGACCTCAACAATGACTGGCGAGGGGTAGTAGGACATGGATTGACTTTACCAAAATAATGATGCAAGCCCATATGAATGTTACCTGAAACTCCCTTCATCTAGCAGAACCGGCACAAATTGGTAAAAGGAATCCCATTATAAGGCATGATTACACCAAATTCCCCCATTAACGTCGTTTTGTTATAATGTCGTTGAAAAAAGAAAAAATATGTATGAACATGATAAATGTACGACAATTTTAAAAAATTCAGTACGAAAGCGCTCAGCTTGGTTCATAATTTAGAGAAATTAAGAACCAAGCAGACTGTGAAGAACTGCAGAAGGATCTCTTTGAGCTTCAAGAATGGTCGAAGAAATGGCTGCTGAGATTCAATGTTACAAAGTATAAGAGGATGCACCTTGGACATACCAATGGTAAGGAGGCATATTGTACATCCCAATGGGATGAAGAAACTGCATTATCTGAGACTGAATGTGAAAAGGATTTCGGTGTGTATGTTGACAATAACTGAAATTCTCGGCTCATTGAGAGAAGGTGAACCAAACAATTAAATTATCAGGTGTTATAGGAAGGTCGTTCAGATATCTAGATGGTCCGTCCCTTGTAACGATCTTCAAGAGCGAGGGGCTTCCCCGCCTGGTCCCCGAGATATGCAAAAGACTTTCAGTTGATTGAATATATCCAAAGGAGGGCCACCAGACTGGTGCCTACACTTTGGCACCTCAGCTACCTAGAGAGATTAGAGCTCCTGCAACTGCCAAGCTTAAACTACAGACGGGCAAGGGGCGACCTCATTGAGGTGTATAAACATCTCAAGGGACACTACTCAGTCTAGTGTGCATACCTAGAACTGGCGGATGCTCGCCCCACAAGGGATCACAATTGAAGGTTGGAGAAGCCTTAAGTCCAGAAAACTGTGAGGGCAAACTTTTTCGTAGTGAGAGATGTGAACTCGTGGAACAATCTACCAGAAAGTGTTGTGATGGCACCGAGTGTGAGGTCTTTCAAGACCAGACTTGACCAACACTGGAGCAGGTTCAGGTACATTCAGGAGCCGGTGCTTGCCAACAGTGCGAAACAGAGACGTGACCGATCGCCCAAGCGGCTAACGAGCTGATCAGTGGTGAAGAGGATAAAAGGAAAGAGTAAAAAAGTGATCAACAGCCGGCTGTGTAAGCAACCAGTGTGGGCTCCATATTTGTTTGTTATTGTTCGGTGGCTGGTTGATGCTCTTTCAACATTCATTCAAAATCCAATTATAAATTTATTTGAGCCCTAGAAGAATGAGTGCTGAACGTGCATTATGAGCCATTACTGGTTGTGGTCACAGAAAGAAGAGGATAAATGTAACATTGGAAGTTAAATTAGATGTGGTAAAGAGATCTGAAGGAGGACAGTGAGCTGTGGACATATACTGTCGGTTTGCAGCATACAACTGTAGGTAAGACCAATTTGTGGAAAAGCAGATTATATTAAATCATGTGCTAAAAGTGTTACTCCATTATCTGCTACAAAGTTAACTCGCAACAGAAGTGGCAATATGGAAAATATGAAAAGAATGCTGAACATGTGTACTGAGGGTCAACATCAACAAAACTTTCCATGTTCATTATACAGGTGAAAGTTCAAAGTTTATTTGAAATTTTAAAACAAGAAGGTGATAGTGATGAAAGTGAAACATTTGTGGAACGTTCTGAGAAAATTTTGACCAGAAATGTACCCAGGAACATAACCCCTATTTATATCATTGTGTCTATGGTAAAATTGTTTTCATTTAACGTCGTTTCACTTAAAGTTGTGGTTTTTAGGAACCTAACAAGAAAGGTAATGGGGGAATTGGTGATATATATATATATATATATATATATATATATATATATATATATATATATATATATATATATATATATATATATATATATATATATATATATATATATATATATATATATATATATATATATATATATATACTGAGTAACTAAAAGGCCTCAGTTCATTATTAACAAAAATAATACAGGAAGTTTATAAAGTCCCTATCTATCTATTTCAGTGAAATAACGTTTTTTATTGATTTTTATTGTAGAACTCCAATGGGTGCTGGTGGTAGCACTGAGTATTGAAGGAAAGAAATGCAAAGAAATTAGAGAGAAGTGTAAAGAAAATTTCATAAGCCAGGTCCTACAGACAAGACAATACGCGAATTGTTGAATAAATTCAAAAGAACGGAATCTGTTAATGATGAACCAAGATCGGGACGTCCACTTGTCTCAGAAGATGCTGTAAATGCAGTACGAAATGCTGTCGTTTTACAATTGAATTTAACATAGTTACCCATAATTTCATGCAACAGGTTCAGATACATTCAGGAACCAGTGCATGCCCACTGCCCAGTACTTGCCAACAGTGCGTAACAGAGATGTAATCGATCGCCCAAGCGGCTAACGAGCCGATCAGTGGTGAAGGTGGTAAAAGTAAAAGTTATTTGACTGAAATAGATAGGGACTTTATAAACACCCTGTACAATTTAGTCATCTATACACAGGGGTATAATAAATGTCTTTGCTTTACTGTATCAATCTTTTTCAGGTTAGGTAAACTGTACCAATGTTTCTCTATAAAAATAACACCTATAATACAGTACTGTACATACAAAATTTTTGATTGTATAATTTATATTATATTTAAGGCAAACACATACAACTTCTGAGTTATGAAGTGTTGAAGAGGAAAGTTATTAACATTTCTATTTTTAGGAGAATATAGCTGTCGAGGCATCTCGGATCAAAGACGATTCTTAATTGTCTTTCATGACATCATATTAATTCACAATTCACGGCAATCATTTACATTTTCAGAAATACCGGTACATGACATTAACAGACACACCTAACTGTTATTGTCAACTCTTACCTACAATTGTTAAACAGTAATTTAGTTTGTTCATATTGTATTGTGACATTTCAATTTAATTTATCAAATATTGAACATAGTTAGGGCAATATATGTGATTAAAGCTACTGGTAATCGTTTAGAAGGTAATTAATACTAACTACAAGTATGTCGATCTGTATGATGATACCTTGTTAATGAACAAGGTACTTAAGTTAAATTAGATGTGCCAAGGCACCTCACATATTTTGGATACAAATTTCCAATTTTTTGGAATCCTATAAATTTGATGAAAATTTACTTAATACAGTAATTCCTGAATATAATGTGCCAATAGTCAACATCATCCTAAATCTAAACTACATTACTTCTCTTCTTAGAAACCAAGTTATTGTGTCCATGTGTTGGTTCATTACTCCCAAATTTCCCCTTCCATGATTCCATAAAAGATGGCCATTTTCTATGATGCATTTTATCTGCTATGTTATTATAAATTAACAATAAAAATGAATCTAATAATGCCTAGGCCATTTAAATATCCTTAATTCTGAAATTCCAACAGTCTGTTTCCCAAACTGCATACTGTAGTCAAAGAGCATTGCAGGAGCTTCCCATATCATGGAGGTAAGTGTAATGCATGGCAAGGTTAAAATATCTATTCACATAATGGCTCCACCTAAATCACTTAACATTAAGATGCCCTGGCAATACCTAAAATGCATTTTATAGGTGCAGTACATGGTTACACATTTACATACTGTGATGCCTTCATGTGTGAACACTTAAGAAATGTACAATGTGCAGAAATTGCTGCCACTCATACAAGGCAAAATCCTACACTTACTGATTGTTTTACTAACAGTTTCTTCCTCTGTTCATTCAGGGGACAGCCAACAAAGTGTTATATAACTGCTAAATGTACTGTCTTGAAGTACCACAATTAATTTTCTGTCATACCAAGATGCCTTACAGATATGCATCTTATATCCAAGGATTACTGCACTGTATAGAGCAAAGTGAACAATTATAAGACTAAGCATTATTTCTATGGCAGGAATCAGTCTTATACAACTTCCTCCAAACATTACCCCAAGAGCGACATAGATGCCTTGGTGAAAAAGTGAGTGACCTATTTTATGAACTGGTGAGCTATAAAGGAATTGTGACAAGCTAATGCTCAGCTGTGTTCTCTCCTACCTTAAGACAATGCAAGTGTAGAAATACTGAAAGGTAAATGATAATAACATATTTGAGTATTCAAGCCGTTATAAGAGATATAATTTTGATAATCTCCCCAGTAACAACTGTTGCTACGAGAGATTGAGAAGAGTTTGCTAATCACAATACTACACTTCAACTCTATTTACGGAAAAGAATATATCTTAATAAAAACTTTTAACTACTAAGAAAAGGTTGAATAACAATACAAGAAGAATACATTCTGGCTAACACATGGTTGGGAGAATCTATCACAGCATAACTTGTGCAGTGCAAGAGACTATTCAATAAAAATCAATATGAACACTGCACATTATAGAGATATAAATGACAACTTTGATTAATATTTATCATTAAACCTCTTTAAAATAATCTATATTGTATAGCTTAAAACACTCTATGACTAGTACAGTATATGGTATACATCTCTGATATATACAGTACATTATCAGTTATTTATTTTATCATGTATCAATTGGATATTTACATAACAGGTAATTCGTTTTATAATAAATCTAACTTGTATATAATAATAATTTTACAGTAGTGTGTCATTATTCAAAACTTTATACAGTACGGTACAGCACTGTGTGTGTTAGTATTACTGGCAAGTTAATTCCTGAATCAGTGCAAATATAAAATTAAAGAAGTCTCCCTTTATTACCTGTCGATGCCCTCAGGTCTTTGTCCTCGGGTGAATGTTAGGAAAACCTGAAAGAGAAACCATTCAATATTAATATCATTACAGCAGCATCAATTATTTCATAAATACTAACTATAATAATAACAAAAGAGACTGTATGAATGTGTGGCCAAATCAAAATTAAAGACACGTGTGGACGTATCAGATCTGAGACTTGAGGTTGGTAGTCAAGCGGACTCAAATCAGGAAAAGATTGACAATAAAGTATTTTCTCTTCTGTTTTATTCATTTGTACATTATTATAATTTATTCTTTACATTTACTAATACAGTTCAGTATATATTATTTTATCTTATTTATCACAGTAAAACATCTTATTGTTAAAACATTTTGATAAGATCTACCGTAATGTGAATCATCACAGCACCAGGATACACACTAACTTGTATAATTTTTTTTAATTTTTCCAGACTTCAACATTGCTATTTACTTGCTTTGGTTATTGCTATTTATATGCCTACAATTTTAAGTTTTAATGGTACAGTGAAAGCTATTTTCAGGGGTGAATCTAGCAAAATTCATAAATAGGAGTTGGTAACTCTGGCAATATTCAGTTTCAGTGTTGGTAACACTGATCATTGTGTCAGTTGTTGCGGTGGTGATCAAGACACGTTGGTGAGAATCTTGTGCCTTGCTACAAAACTTGGCAATGATTATACCAATATTTCTCGACGGCTAGGGTCAGATTATACTCAGGTATAAGAAAAAATCAATATTTTACCACAAACTCAGGGGTGGAACTAGACATGAACTTTCAGAGAGATAACTGAACTGATAATGCTGCAAGATTACTATAACCAAATATTTCTTTGACTTTTCCAATGGATTATCATATCAGCTACTAAACTCACCCTTTCAAGCGTGGTCTGGGTTACAGAGTAGTCATCAATTGGCAGTTCCTGACGATTCCTCTCTATAGTTCCAAACACTGATGCCCATGTTAAGCCTTCAGCTGGGATGAAATACTCCAGTCGTCCCCATTGAATTTCTCGCAAATGATTGGCTATAAGAAACATGAATCAATTAAAAGAACAAAAACATCACATATTCAAATTAAATAATTATACTTTACATATAGTGAACTAAAAATTATACAGTAAAACCTCAATAAATCAGACTTCAATATATCGGAATTAGGTTTTTTCGGTCATTGAGATGCTTTGGTCATCAGAAAAAAGGGGGGGGGGGAGGAGAGTAATGAAAAATAAAATCTTATGAGATGAACCACACTTACTGAATACTGTACAGTAAGACACTTGAGTATGTAAGCAGACTGGGGCTGATCAGGTGCTGCCACATTCATCAGGTTTATTTATTTATTGATTCAGTATTATACTGTACTGTATTCTCATATGATTGGCCGTTTATGGTAATATAACATCTTCAATAATAGAAAAAAATACAATATTGTACAGTATGTAATTTGTAATATGACTTGAAAATAAAAGGATAAACTATATTAGAAGGTTATTAACTCAAGATGTGTTCGTGTGACAGCTTTCAGTAGACCAGCTTACAACAGGGGTCACTCTAACACACCTTCTTACAAACATTATTTACTACCTTTGAGTGTGATATGATAACTCAGTTTGGCTATTTGTACACTTAGACAAATGATTAATGAATATACCAGGATATATGCAGATGCACAGTGATATCCCCGTTAGTCGGAACAATTGGTGCAGAGCACTTCCGGGGATGAGAGACTTACGGCTAACCAGACAACTTTCTCAAACCCGGAAAAATTCCTTACCCCCGGAATCTTTTCCGGTTCTTCGGAAAAGTTTCTGAGTGTCTAAACTAGACATCTTGCACACACTGACACTGGCCCACTTACCCAGAATGTTTCTGGGTGCTGGGGATGTTTTCCTTGAGTCTAAACTACCAGAGTCCGTAAATGCAGTTCAAATTAAGTTAGAAACTCCATTTCTTTACTATAATAATCCAGAATAGTTAATCTAAAAGTTTGGTTAAATGAATATATTTGAAAATTAAAAATCTATATGATATGGGCATTAATGAAGCTGTGTGTTACAGTAAAGACTGGTATTTTCCACTCCCATGGAGCGGAAAATTTATTAAGGATCATTATGGTATCAAATACATCTCCCTATCACAATTAGCCCCGCTTGAGTGAGAAAGGGGGGAGAAAATTGACCGTGTGACCCTCCCCCCCCTAACCCCCAAAAAGGTTCAGCTCCCACACTCTTCAGCCAAACATTACACATCAACACATACACACACACACACACTCCAACAACCAGTCACACACACACACCCTCCCCACACACACACATGCACTCCAACACCACTCACAACGGAATTAAGACAGCAGACATAAGGAGTGAGGGTCTTATTGTGTGACAAATTTGTGTGTGTGACTGAGTTAAATATCAGCTGTTGAGGAGCACTTGGCAACACTCATTCCCACTCCATCTCTCTAATCACCCGCACCTTTCTGCTTTCTCTCCATATTTTAAAATGTTATGTAATGTAATGTTGAAGGGATACAACTTTGCTCATTTATACTTACAATCTCTCTAAAAATACTTTAGGTTTTGTGTTTATTCAAGACATCTTCAGGTCATGAGACCCACTAATCCCCCGGCCAAGAAAGGGTGACTTGACATTTCATCAGGTCAGTAATATGACACCACTAATCCCCCACCCAACCCCCACCTGACATTGAGTCAGGTCAGGTCAGGTCAGGTCCCCCCTATAAAGTACTTTAACTTTCATCTTTATTCAAGACATTTTCAGAAAATTCTTTCAATTTTCAACCTTGGGAGATTCCGGCTAACGGAGATATTACTTTTACACTACGTACAATATTACTTATTGATGATAAATACACTACAATAGTATTTATTAATTGATGGTAAATACATGACTGTACAGGTAACTCGCATTTTACGAGCGTTTGATTTAAGCGTTTATGGAATAACGTGAATGTTCAATTTATACCAAAAGCTAATTATGTGCACCGATTTTTTAAATAACGCGCTCAAGACAGTTTAAATTTGCTGCGCGTATTCACCTGGTCGCCTGAGGTGCTTGTAAGTTATACTATAAAGTTGCAGCCATATCAACATCAACAATTTTAATATTATTATTATAATGTAATAATAAAGATTATTACTGCTAATGATGATGATCACCCGCCTTCAGAGAGGAGAGCTTGTGTTGGAGGTTGGCCGTGTGCTTGGTTTAAGTGAGAGCACTGCTCATACCCTGTGTGGTATATGATGGTTCCCCTAATCTGTACCATTTACATGTACAGTACAGCTCCTCCCCGACTTACGACGGGGTTAGGGACCGACATCCAGGTCATAAGTTGAAATGGTTGTAAGTCGGAAATGCTTAAATAATACATAGAAAATCTAAAATGGGGGGTCTCTTTTCCTTCTCAGCACCACAAAACACACACTTTTAAGCTTGACAGCCCTTTTAAAGTGAATTACAGATGAAAATTTTGTCCGTGTACTGACTTTGGGACTCAAAAATACGTAATTTGACCAATTTTTGGTACGACTGAGGCAGGTCGTAAGTCCAGGTGGACGTAAGTCGAGTAGGTCGTAAGTCGGGGAGGAGCTGTATTCTTATGGGAAAAATATGTTTAATTTACGCAGGTGGGTGTACTGTACTAATGTACTAAGTGTTGAAGACAGACATTGTGGTGAGCCGATCAGCTGTTTGCTCTTTGTAAACAATGACTCACGGTTTTCAGTGTGGCACCAAATGATCCTAAATTATATGAGAGCTGTGGTGGAATGTCATAAATAAGTGTTAAAGGAATCTTGTGGGGGTTAGGGGGAGGGAGCCTCCAACATCATGCTACCCTCCCATACAATATACAGTACTCCAACACTTATTTGTTCTTATTTTTATCTTTATAGTTCTGTACAGAAAACAGTTTTCTCTTTATTCATAAGACAAATTCTGTGGTTACTTTACAGTAAATAACAATCATCTCAGTGACAACCTACAGAGTTCTGTTTCATATTTTTTTTATTGTTGATGTAATATTCTTTTAATAACCTTGTTATAAACTTAAAGACCTTAGTTGTTGAAGTGCAGTAATAACATAACTGAATTTCTTAAAGCAGTTCAGGTAAGCACTAAATATATTCCTTTTTCGGACTTTCGCATTTTTCGGACTGGGGTCTGCCCCAATTAGTCTGATTTATCGAGGTTCTACTGTACTGTATGAGCAATCATTCATCACAAGCCACCTACCATCAAGTTTCTGGTAGTGTTGGCCCAACTGTTGTCAAACTTAGGATGTGGGTTTTTTTTTTTTAAATAGGTAATTTGCTGATCTTTGCAGAAAATCTCATTATCCCTTGAAAATTAGAAGTAAAATTTCTGACATCATTTGCAATAACATACTCACTACCCTGTAAGTAAGAGGATTCATGGTGGAGTAATTACAGGAAGGGTTATGATGATACAAAACTCTCAGCACTCATAATATTCAATTTACTCTATGATTAGAATACAGTCAACCCTCGCTTTACGCGGTCCCACTTTACGCGTTTCCACGTTTACGCGGTACCCTGCCGAAACCGGAATGCTCACTTTCCGCGGTGTGTGTACCCTTTTACGCGGAGAGCGGCGTGAGCAGGGTGCGCACAAGGTCGCCCAGTCATCAAAACATTACAGAGTTCTTCACCCGCCACCCACCACAGCCGGCCCAAGTCAGTGATAGTGATAATGATAGTGAGGATATGGACTTATATGGACTTTGAGGGGTTTGACAAAGAGGCCCTGCAAGCCTCTGTGGTGGATAGTGATACAATTGATACAAGTGATACAGGTGAGGGCCAATAATCTGCCCTCTGCCTCGGAACCAACCCCCCATCCCCGTGTGCCCAGCCATCTTTTCTACTAATGTAAGTGTTAAAAAACCTAATATTGATATTTCTCTTAATTATTAATTGTGTGTGCATACCATCATAAAATTAAGAAGTTATTTTTACTACAACGTAGGTATTGTGTCTGAAAAAGTGGAGTTTGGGGGTCGGCCCGGTCTCTATTTCAATTAATCCCATATGTTATGTTGTTCACTTAACGCGTTTCTCACTTTACGCGGGCCGCCGTGGGTTGAATTAACCTCGTAAAGTGAGGGTTCACTGTATACTGTATAGAGTGTATCATCTTGTCTCACCTGGGAAAGTTTTTTCAACAAACTGCTTGATGGTCAACATTTCTGCCGGCAATTCTGTCAGGCTGGGGTCATTACTCTCTTGTGAGTTGGACATATGAACCCTGGAGGAACAACAGTTGATAAGAATAACACTGGAGGAGAAAACAGTACATATATGAATGACAACGAAGAAGGAACTGTTTATTTAACCCTTAGGCCCCGGGTGACGTTCCAGAACGTCCGCCTATTTTCCTGCCTTTCTTTTTTAATTAATTCATTTTTTTTTATTATTATTTTTGGAAAATATGATTTTTTCTCGAATTAACCCCGCGGGAGGAGGGGGGGTTACTGCCAGCAGCACCTTAACCCAGGGCTTAAGGGTTAACAATGTTGGCATAACTTGGTCAACATGAAGCAAACACATATTCTGAATTGTAATAAAGACACATTTAATCTGACTTAAAGTGAAGAAGGAAGAGTTTGTCTGAATTAGAATGAAGCATGAACAGTTTTTAATAATATTATAGAAGGAACAATTTCTTAGGATCATAAAGAAACTATTTATTTCAGATATAATAAAAGGAAACATTTCATTTGAATATTACTATGAAGGGACAGTTCATGTGAAGAAAAACAATTAAGGCAGTGCACTCACTTTGAATGGTTAAATATATAAGAATATCAGCTGTGGGAGCAAAATGTAGCAAATGTCAACAATTTGTTCTGGATCTTAAGTCACATGAAGGAATTATTGCAAGAATTTTTTTTTTTAGGGCACTTAGATGTCCTATAGTGTATATCAGGCTCGGTTCCGCTCTGTAAAGTGGGTTGGCAATAGTATGGGGTTCAAATTGTAAAACTTGTCTCAAATTTGCCAGATGGCAACCTGGATACCAAGTCATCAGGTCATTGCAGCAAACCCAAACAAATGTGTAAAATGACCCCAAAAATAGTCATTATAATGATGATGTCACACTGTATTTCTTTAACATCTGTTTTTATGTGCTAAGGAAATCAAAATATGGTACTGGATAAGATACATTGGCCAATGTGTTGTTCCTGTTATCTAAGTAACGAGGATGCAGTTTTGATGGGATGTAGTTCAGTTACAGTAATAGCATATTTATAACTTGTAATGTGAACTGAATACTGTATAGGTATCAAAGGAAAAACTACTATATGCATTATATGAATAAATTTTGATTATGAATTCTTAAAAGTTTTCTGCTGTGGAAATTGTATTATTGTAAAGAGTGCTTAATGACCATGGCAGCTGTACCACCTAAAACATAACATGATATACCTGATTATGACAGAATATCCCTCACTGAACTTGCTCTTCAGATGCTGAGGTGATCCTAAGCAACAAAACTTCCCATTAACCATGATGGCCAGTCTGGTACAAAGGGCCTCACACTCCTCCATGCTGTATAGAAAATAAAGGCACTAATTTATTAACTATTATCAATCTCTACTGTGATATATTTTGACAGAATTCTAATGTTAAATCTGCTTACAATACTATAAATTACATAAAAGAATTACAATGTTTCATAATAGGGCTGGAAATAAACTCCTAGGAATTATGTATGCTTTACAATTGGCCTTGGAAATGATGTCACTATTTTCAGTAGGATTTATTCTATCAACAGTATCTGGCAACTTGATGTGTGACGAATGAGTGACTGATCACTCACCAGTCGGGTTGAATGCCGTTGTAGGAAGATGCTACATTAACAAACTTCTGAGCCGAAATTCTCTCTGCCTAACCTCTTTCTGGCAAACAAGACCCTCATTGATTAGAAAATGAAATTTATGTAAACTAAACCAATGTGCAAAATACAGTACTGATCAGTAAACTAGAGAGGTTGTACTGTATTCAAAGAAACTTCACACAAATACTGTATGTATTATCACGAGACAGGATGGATGTCTTGGGGAAATAAGAGGGCAATATTCAGCATCAAATGAAAATATGAAATGCACTCATGTAAGACTGTTGGGAAGAGTTAAATATTAATTTGTATTATTTCATATTGAAAAATCAACAATTACCTGTGAGATGTGAGAATAATGCTCCTCCCAGCATCCCGAACAGACGTCAATACATCCCATAGTAGTCTTCTTGCTACAGGGTCCATTCCTGACGATGGCTCATCCAAAAGCACCAGTGGAGGATCTCCCACCAGAGCCACTCCAGTGCTAAGTTTGCGCTTGTTTCCTCCACTACAATATGATCAAAAGTTAAAATAGACAATACCCGTATAACTAAAAATCCTACAGTAATACTGCGCATTAAAAGGACAAACAATTTCAAAAAAATTTTTTCTAAGTAACACTCAGATTTCTAAGTCTCAACTGTATTATTAATGACACAATTCCACGGTAAACAATCTTCATCATGTAGCCCAAGTGTACACAATGTCACTGTTGTCACATGGTACAGAGAGGTGTGCTTTGTCCCCCTAATGCAAGTACAGTACAGTACAGTAGTGTTCATTAATGGATAGTAACTCTAAAAATCAAATCTGGGATGATACTGTTACTGTTTGAAAATGAGGAAAATTTATATGTACTGTACTGTACTGTACTGTACTACTTTCAGAACACAGTGACTAATGCTTCAGCAGTGATCATGTTCCTCACACAGCTGTACTTTTCAACTGTGGCCATTTTATTTCTTAAATAAATTAAACAAAGATTATGAAACCAATGAGGAAAACTTACCTATAATTCCCAAATAGATTATCCAAGTGTTGTGTTACAAGAAGCTGATCAGCGAGAACGGCGATCATGCCATTAATCTGCCTCTCTGGGACTCCACGCAGACGTGCAAACATACGAAGTGCCTCCCTACCAGTCATGTGATCGTGCAGTGCATCAAATTGTGGACAGTATCCTATCTGCTGCTGAACCTGTCAATTAATGAGAACATATCAATAATAAACTTTTAACTTCTTATTTGATAAGAATAATAGTTTGAAGATAAAAAATGTATGAACAAAATTATAGTTGGTCCCAAAGGCATGATGGTCCATTAAAGGCATTACAGTACTGTGTATATATACTGTAGACAAAACTTTCAGTATGCAAGTTGGCAGCATGGCTGGCAGTACAATCTCCCAGCAGGTAAAGTTAGATACCCATTTACAACTGGGTAGACTGATTCACCATCCCCTAGTACTTGAGGCAATTGTTGTACCAATGTTTGCTGTTTAAATTAATAATGTTTGTTGATGAAAATGCCGAGTATTTCTGAAAAAGAAATACATGGCCCAGAAAGGACATTGTGAATAATGTGATCATTCTTCCACCTTCCAGGCTGAGAATTGAATAGATATCTGGACTAGAGTTAAAGAATCTAATTCTCTGTTAAGAACTTCAGACTTAATACTCAATCTATAGAAAGCCCAAATAAAATTATCTAAATTTATGGCTAAATTTAGGATGTAGCTACAAAACTCTAGCCAAGGTAACTAAGGACAACTACTGTACATTCTTCATATCAGATTTGATGCTGTAGCCGTTCACAAATGCATCACCAGAAGACACTGGTAAATCTCCGGTAAGCATTTTGAATGTCGTTGTTTTTCCTGCTCCATTGATCCCAAGAAGTCCAAAACATTCCCCTAAAGGAACCCCGAGGTTAAGGTGATCCACCGCCACGAAGTCTCCATTGTACGTCTTACACAGGTCCCTGAGGGAGTAAAAAAGAGAGTTTAGAGCCAGTATATACAATGTACAGTACTGTATATCTTATTTTTATCGCTGGACAGCGGTAATCATAGGATAGTGATAAGAGTGGTGAGGGTAATTATGGGAGAGTGATAAAGGTAATGAGAAAAGTGTTGTTGTGTACTAAGCGAGGAGGCGATGGTGAGTCAGCCTGCGTCATGAGGAGCAAGGCGTATGTATGCTGAAATGGCTTGACGTTCACTCGGGCCCCTGGACGATACATACGGCAGCAACTCTCAACTGATCGCCCTAAACACATCAGAGGCTTTCTGGTCCGAGCCAGACCTGCAACACGTAAGTGTGAAAATACAGTGGGGTATGCTATAACGAATCTAATTGGTTCTAGAACCTCGTTCGTTATAGCATTCGTTCGTTATAGGATTAATCCATCCCAGGCCCCCAAATACAACCACTTAACACTGAAAATTTTCTGTGGAAAATGTAAAAAAATACAGTACTTTATCTTACCTTAGTGTTGTTCAGCATGCAGGACAGGAGGCAGAGGAGGAGGAGAGAATTATGGAGAAGAGGTGGAAGGAGAGGAGTCATCCTTCCTAGCCCTCTTTGGTGACTGTCTTGCAGGCACTTTGTCTGTAGGGTCTTTTGCTACTTTTTTAAAGAAGGAATCCAGGGTTGGCTGCTTCAACCTTGATTTCTGGACCTTCCAAAAGTAGTTCATAACATTGTCATTAAACACACTGATGGCCTTTTCCACAGCACCAACATCAGGATGATAATCCTCCGCAAGCTTAGACAGTTTGCTCCAGCAAAAGAACACATCCTTGAGATCTTTGGCGGGAATGATGCGGCTTTCCTCCTTGTCCTCATCCTCCCCTGACTCCTCAGAAGTTAAGCTCCGCTTCAGTGTCTCATTTTCCTCTTTGTGAAGCTCAAGCAGCTCCTCAGTGGACAGCTCCTTACTGTGCTCTTCCACCATCTCCTCAACATCATCATCATCCACTTCTAGGCCCATGGAATTGCCCAGAGACACAATTTCATGTACAACAGCCTCTTCCTCTAACTCTTCGAAGCCTTCAAAGTCTCTTTGAAGCACACATTCAGGCCACAATGGCCTCCAAGCAGCACAAAGACACCTCATAGAAACCTCTTTCCAGGCTGACACAATTAAAAAAACAGCATCTGCTATATTGAAGTGACTCTTCCAAAATTCCTTCAAATTAACATCACTGGAAGAAGTGGATACAAAACATTTTCTAAACAGTGCCTTTGTGTACAGCTTCTTAAAGTTAGAAATTACCTGTTGATCCATGGGCTGGATGAGAGGTGTTGTGTTGGGTGGCAAGAAGTGCACAGTGATGAAGTTGAACTCCTCTGGAAATTCAACCATCAAATTAGGAGGGTGGGCTGGTGCATTGTCCATCACCAACAAAGCTTTCAGTGGAAGATTATTCTCCCTGAGGTATTCCCGAACACTGGGTCCAAACACCTCAATCACCCACTCGGAGAATAAATTCCTGGTCACCCAAGCCTTTGGGTTTGACCGCCACATAACACCAAGGCGGGTCTTCCTGATGTTTTTGAAAGCTCTGGGGTTTTCTGCATGGTACACAAGGAGTGGCTTTATTTTGCAGTCACCAGAAGCATTAGCACAAAGAAGGAGGATAAGCCTGTCTTTCATTGGCTTATGGCCAGGGACAGAAGTTTCCTCCTTGGTAATGTATGTACGGCGAGGCATTTTTGTCCAAAAAAAGTCCAATTTCATCACAGTTGAATACCTGCTGAGAAACAAAGCCTCCCTCTTTAATCACATTAAAAAAATGTCATGGTGTTCCTTAGCTGCTTCCTCATCTGCATCACCATGTCTCACAACACTGTGTAATTTATTTCTTCTTCTGAAACCAGTAAACCACCCCTTGGTACCCCTAAACACTGGCACAGCACTATCACTTCCACTGGGAGTCTTGGCTTTGAGGTTCTCAAACAATTGTCTGGCCTTCTCACAAATTATAGCTTCACTAATGCTATCACCTGCCATTTCTTTCTCCTTTATCCACACTAAGAGTAAATTTTCCATCTCCTCAATCACATTACACCTTGCTTTGCTAAGTCTAGAGATTCCCTTAGCCACTTGCACAGTTTTCAACTCCTCTTTATTCTTCAAAATCGTACATATAGTCGATTTAGCCATCTCATATTCATCACTAAGTTTCGCAATGCTTGTTCCATTCTCACGTTTCTTTATGATTTCTTTCTTAGTTTCAAGGGTTATTAGCTTTCTCACTCGCTTTGGACGATTCATTGTCACAATTGTACACTTGTATAACAAAATAGTTACCTATACAAATAACATGTATTTCCACATCAAAAGACGAAATTTCAACAATAACAGTGGTGCACTGGCTACACAATGAGACAAAGATGGCGCCTGACGCTCTTGTTGTGGGTCGCGGTACAACAATATTCATGCGCCATACGAAATAGTCCCGTATTCATCCGCGTTCGTTGTAGGAGTTGCGTTCGTTATAGCATTCTCAACTTTATAGGTAAAACCATTCGTTATAGGAATATTCGTAGTAGAATATGTTCGTTATAGCATACCCCACTGTATTGTGTTTCACTGTGGACGTTGTATGTATATTATGTATGCTGGATTATGTATTATGTATGTATATTATGTATGTGCTCCATTTATATTTATTCAGCCTAGCTAGCAGCGTGTGGCAATGTTATTACCATATCCCACACGCTTAATTAATGTGCCTGGCGACGTATGGAAGCTGCTAATGTATCACTTGCCATACGTCGTCTATGGTAGTTGACCAAGAGCTTAGCTAGGGAGCAGTGCTACCCACCTCTGTGTACATACTCTTATCCAGTAAACCGAACCTACAAAACTATACAGGTGTTTGTGTTCTCTCCTGTATATAGAACTTATTACCCAGAACACCTAACATGGCGCAGTGCGTAGTTTACTGGATTATTACGAGTGATTAGTGCAAGTTTGTGGAAAGCCGGCTTATGCGGCTTATGACTCCCGCCTTTGTGTCAACCCCGCGTCATCCCTCGAAGAATTTCGCAACTTTGAGCAGTGTCAGTGACAGTGATTTTCTGTGAAGTGTTAAGTGCATTGTGTGTTTCGTGCCATTCATGTGTGACCTTGTTCGAACGGATTTCCAAGGTATACGGCATGTTCTGGGCATTTGTGGGGTGTAGAGCTCAGCGCACCCTCCTCTGACCGTTTACAGAGAGCGACTGAGCTACTCCTGTCTCCACCCCCCTCCCTCACAGCGCCGCCTCCACCCCCCCTCACAGCTGGGGCGAGACGCTCTGCCTGCCTGGGACACACACACATACATGTACTAACACTTGCTGACCGCGCGGCTTTCTTATATATATTTTATATATATAACCTACTTATCTGTGTATTTAATTAAATTTTTTGTCTGAAATCTTGTTGATACGACGGGCTGACCGGTCAACACTGATTTAAGACACAGTACACAGATAAAGTAGTTATGTCTCATGCCTTACGTAGCCGTGGACCCAGCGCCTGGATGAGTCAAGCGGATGATAGTCCCCCAGAGATGGATGACCAGGCCGGCCACGACGCTCCAGCTCCCACAACATCGCGCAGCCCTTCACCTCAACATTCAGCGTTATCTCCAGAGATAATTGCCTTAATGAAGTTTATGAGAGATGAGAGACGCGAGGATGAAGCTCACAGACGTTTGGCGGATGAGCACAGAAGGCAAGCAGAGGCAGAACGAGACCACCAACGGAGAATGGAAGACAGTGCACGGTTTGAAGCCTTGATATCTCGCCTCACTGTTAACCAAGCCCCTGGCTCTAACACTGCCTCGGTACTGAATGGTTCAGATACCTCATCCATGCTTCCTTCACGCCCCCCAGCCCCACCTAAAGCAGCAGCTCAAACACCGCCCATCTTGGAGCCTGATGTAAATTTCCAGACTTTTCGCGAATGGCGGCGGCGGTGGGCTGATTATGCTACAATGGTGGATCTCCAGAGTTTGTCACAGCCTAAACAACTCATCCAGCTGCGTATGTGCCTGTCCTTGGAAGTTCAGCGTGTCTTAGAACATACGTTGCAGGTACCCCCAACCTCTTCGCTGTCTGTAGAGGAGGTACTGGACGTTCTACAACGGCACATCAAAGGACAGCAGAATGAAGCTCTGCGCAGGAGGGAATTGTTTAGCTGCAGACAGATGGAGGGTGAGTCTTTTGACGCTTTTTATGTACGTCTTAAGAGAGCCTCGGAAGAGGTAGATATATGTTTAGGCCACCACCAGCAGTGCGAGGAGACCCAGTTGAAGCAGGTGATCCTGATGGGTGTTAAGGACGAGGAACTTGTCCAACGCCTCACCTCCCTCGACTCTTCCTCTTCTCTTCAGGATGTGTTGACGATATGTCGCTCCTATGAGGCTGCCAGGTGTGCCACCTCTGCCATCCGAGCTCCCCCTACAGCTGTACGCGCTGTTTCCCGGTACAAGAAGGACAAGAAGTCTGCTCCTACGCCTTCGCCCACCACGTCCACGCCCGGTTCATTTTGTAACAACTGTGGTAAGCAGCACGGAACACAGGTGTGTCCAGCTGCTCAGTCTACCTGCAACAGTTGTGACCGTAAGGGCCACTGGTCACTCACAGTACGGTGCCCAGCCAAACGCGTCCAGTGCAATGTGTGCGGTCGTCTGGGCCACTATGACAAGTGTTGCCCTTCCAACAAACCCAAGGAACAGCGTCGGCGGAAGCTTCAGCGCCCTTCTACCAGTGAGGGCCGCCCACAGTCGCCAAATCAGAGGCACGACGACCCTGGACAAAGCCCGACCCATTTTAGGAGGGTGTACTCCTCGCATCCCAGGACCAAAGTCCCCAGTACATCAGCGTCATCGTGACCTACGGCGGTGTGTCATCCCGTCTTCAGATGTTGCCTGACACCGGCGCTGATGCTACAGTCATCGGTCCCCAGCATTTGCGATGCTTGGG